TTTTTTCTTCTTTATTTAGAGGGTGTTTCTTTTTTTATATATTTTACATGAGATTGGAATTTAACAATTGGGGGAAAATTGATTAGTAAATACTGGTTGAGTTGATCAGGCTCCTACAGAAATTGTCACTTTTTCCTCTTAACAAAAGAAAAGGATTTTTAGGTGGTACAAAAATCAGTTCTCGTCTTCATCACCTTGTCCAATGGGTAAGTGAGTTGATGGAAGAGAATGGAAGAAAGTGGAATAAATCTTTAATCCTCAGCATTTTTTCAGCTAAAGAGTCAGAAGAGATTCTCAAATTATCTATTGATGATCAAGGAAAGAAGGATAAGCTGGTGTGGTGTTTGAACAAGGATGGGAATTTTTCGGTTAAATCGTGTTACAAAGCTTTAATTGATCAGAAAGTCCAATCAAAAGGGCTGCCAGAATCAAGCAATGGAGCAAAGGAAATGAAGAAGCTTTGTGACATGATATGGAAACTAAAGATAAAGCCTAAGCTCAAGATCTTTCTATGCAGATGTGTACATGACTCTCTTCCTGTGGCTACAAATCTTCATAAAAAAGGTATCATTCTCGATCGTTGTTGTACTCTTTGTGGCGATAGGCCTGAAACCCTCATGCATTTATTTTTTGAGTGTGAAAGAGCTCACAAAATCTGGAAGTTAGCTGCTGTTAGATGGGATTCTTCTATGCTTAATACTGATCAATTTAAGATTTGGTGGGGAAATATTTGTAATGCCAAAAAAGGAGATTGTTGGGAGGATAGAATAGAGCTCACAGTTTATATGTTATGGTGGCTATGGAAAACTCGAAATTGTTGGGTTTTTGAGAATAAAAAAATCATGGAAAAGGATATTCCTGATAAAGCTAAAGAGGATTGGTTGGAGTACAAGGAAATTTGTGGGAAACCTTTGATGTCTGCAGGGTTGATTTCAAAGAATTGCATGAATGTAGGGCAAAGGAACATCTTTGTCAGTGCATGTGTGATTCCTTTGGGAGGCAGCGGTTTTGGAGGAATTGCAATGGATGAAACAGGTTCGATTTGTAGGCATTGGGGTGTATTTCTTCATCAAAACTGTGACCATTCAGAATCTCTTTTATTGGGAGTTAAGCATGCACTTTGGAGAGCATTTTTGTTGGACTGGAATTCTATTTCAATCAAAGTGGATGATAAGGAAATGGCTCAAGCACTCCAGGAAGAAAGACCTTTGGAAGGAAGTTACAGAATTTTATTTGAAGATATATGTGCTTTAAAATTTCTCTTTAGTTCTGTTTCTTTCCATTTTGTAGCTCAAGATGATTGGATAGATCAATGTGCTTGTTTAGCTTTGAATGCAGTGGTGGTTTCTAGCAGCCATGATAGGCTTGATGTTTGTCCGGCTTGGTCCTGATCTTAATCA